ACATCACATCACATCACATCACATCACATCACATCACATCACATCACATCACATACATACATACATGTATGTGTAAATATATATATATATATAGATGTATTCAGATGCACAAAATCCATATATATACACACTGTAGATGTATATATGAAAAGATGTGTGTAGATGTGTATATATATATATACACACGCATGCAGGTGGGCATATCATACCCCAAAGAAAAGCAACTTCATCCCCTCCTGACTATCCACCGTCTGACGGTCTTTGCCCCTTGTCTTGTGGATGCCTGAAAAAGTACCGCGGTGCTCCGAATCGTTCGCTTTGCCACTCCCACCCCGTAACGCCGGAAAGGGTTGAACCCGGTTCCGCTTCTGGGTTCAAGTCTTCTGGGCACCTGCGATCTTTGACCACCTCCTGGCGGAAATCGAGGTCATGCCTCTGGAGCGGTGGATGCTGACAGGCTGCTGAATCAACTTGAAGCTAACAAGAGCCTCTTTGAACGCGATGCGGAGGCGCACAAAGGATTTGAAGATCTGCGAGAGAATTCTCCACCAGGTACACCCAAAAATCAGGCTGGAATCCTGGATGATGACGCTCTTAACTAGCTCTTTGGGCTTGTAAACCACAAGCCCTTGAACATGTCTTAAACAGCCTTTCGGCGCTCTGCCACGGGCCGTTTCACACATGGCCTGAATCTGGGCCGAGCGGAGCAGCTCCCAGTGTCACCCGTTGAAAAGGAGCGCAGCCATCACTTTCATGGGCGAATCACATTCAGTCGACTGAACCCTTCAGTCGACGTCGACAGTCGCTCCCATTTTTTCCATCTTTTTCCATCCTTTCAGATCTTTCGGGTCACAACTTCGCCGGCTCGGCTTTGAGATCGGGTCGTAAACTCCCCAAAAGGCCGCGGATCGGGAAGATCGGGATCGGGATCACATCCCCGCGATCTTGCTTCTCTTTATGTTCGTGGGTCAACCAGGATCCGGGGGGCTTTGGACCCCCACATGATCATCGGTCAGCGCTTCACCTTTTTGTTTTCTTCTACACTTTTGGCCCAGAGCCATGTCATGTCAAAGTCATGTCATCCAAGTCAGCGAGGCGGCATGAGCAAGCCTCAATGAGGGGGTTGGTTCTAAGTACCTCAACTGGGCCAAAAGGTTTTCGACCTAGAGGCTTCTGTGAGTTCGCATGACAGAAGAGCAAGGGGAGGCTCCAGAGGCTCGAAATGTACCTTCGCAAAGGGGGTGTGATGGCTTCAGTGCTTGCTGTCAGGACGCGTAGTGTCAAGTGATCATCCAGGTGCTCTAGTCTCCCTTATGAAGCTCACACGGACCCTGGGAAGACCATTTTGACTTTGCAAAGCAGTTTTCAGGCTCGGTGTGAACTGCAAGGGGGTAGCTTGCATTTTAAGTCATAAGAGCTGGTGACGGTGACCGGTGATGGTGAGCTGGTGACGCTGTGAGTGGTTTTTGAGGCTGAGTGATGTTGACGAGTTGACGGTCCTGGAGTAGTTGCGGAACATGTCAAAACAACAAGACACGTGTTTGTTTAGCTTGATCCAGGTACAGCGTAGAGCTTCGGCCATGTGGTTGGAGAAATACATCCGGAAATACTGGACAGCTTCAGCACTGTTTCTGTGGACCATCAACGGCTTTTTGGTGCTCCGATCTCGCTGGGGACCTAAAAAAAACGGCCACCTGGCAAAGAGCAGCACAACCAGATTGGCGGGAGAAAAACATCAAACCAGGCCGGCCATTCCACGCATCAGCCACCAGGATATCCTGGCCATCAGAACAATGGCATCTCAGGCTTCACCCTGAACACTGGCATCTCAGCACATCTCAGCCATCGAAAACCCTCGTGAACCGGTGTAACCGGTGGCTCGGTTCGTCTGGCTGACTTGGGACCGCCTTCCTGGCAGCCAGGACCACTCGAACGTCTTCCCTGATTGCTAGGGGACCTGAGCTGGTGCGGTGGTTGATGGACAACATGCACCGGAAACATGAAAGGAAACAAGATCATGATGCACCCATGGTTTGTTTCGGATGTGCAGCTCTTTTGGTCGGTCGGAGTTTTGGTTCCTGGAAACGCCTGCAAGCCAACATGGAAAGACTCTCATCAGATGCAGCATATTGACGCCGTAGTTGAGGCCAAATCTTCCAGGCATTGGAAAGCCTTTGCTACCTTGTCCGGGACCCTTGTGAGGGTTTGTCTCACCCCTTTTGAGAGACCAAACGGACCAATAGACGGGGAGCACTTTTTTGGAGTACTGAGGATTGAAAAGATAGCTTTGTCCTCTCACAGCAGGTGTCAGGTACCCCTCGTACTTGGGAGCCCTTTTTTGTGCACACAGAACAGTTTTAGATACCGAGTGCCAGTTTTACAGGAAGAGGAAAATGGCTTCGTTGTCACCAGCTATGCAGCTATGCGTCCACATAGTGCTAAAAGGACACACGTGTCCTTCTAAAACCGCATACTGCCGCGTTTCACACCGCTGGTTTTTTCACCCCACCTCTCCGGACAGCCGAGCCGAGGAAGCCGATCTTGGATCTGGGTGGTTGGGGCCTCGGAGTCTCTGGTGACCATTACATTCCCCACGATCCGATGGGTTGGGCGACTGTTTTGTTGGTCGGTGACCGAACCTCAAATGGCGGAAGAATCACAAAAAGGACACAATTTGTTTGCTGGTTATTCTTGATTTATAGAAACACACATAATAATTTATACAGTACTATTAAATTATGATTTGTTTTCCTCTCTTTGCTTTTTGTGTTCTTTTTTTCCCCCCATGTGCTGACCTTTGCGAGCCTCTAGGCGCGGCGGATCTGCCGCGCGGCTCCGCGGCCAGTGCCCCAAGTGCCATCCCCCTCGATGCTGAGGTGACTGGAGGGCGCTCAGATGGTTGTGACACAGTGAAGATCAGTGAAGATATGTGGAGATGGTTGTGTGTTAGAGCATCGCTGCTAGCAACAAGGGCATTATTTCCCCAATAGTAACAAGAAGCTACTAGTAGCGATGCACTTGCTACTGTACTGCCTTGTGAAGATGGTTGTGTGTTGACATGGGGAGACGAGACACTCCAGTTCGACCCCGAAAAGGAAGATGCCACATATAGAGGAAAGTCCATTGGTCCCGCGGGGGCTTGTTCTCGGTCCGAAGCCCAGATGTTTAGAATCGGCTGAAGGATGAAGTTGTCGATCTACACTACGGGCCATTGAAGAGTGGTAGTTCCAACACACCCCTGAATACAGGGTACATTAGTAGTGGTGATTCATGAAAAAGATCATCAAAAAAGACACCGAGATCTCGTCGTTCACGTCGAACGTCGCCAGGAGATTCGATCCATCGCCCGGCATCCACGCATGTCATCCTTGCAAATCCACGCGAGCAAGAGGACGGACATCGGCTGGGAGTCTCTGGACGGACATCGGCGTCATGAAGCACACGCACGAAGTCTTTGGGGAGAGGAAGAAACGCCCCCAGGAATCTTCATCAGCGTGGCTCTTTGCTTCAAAAGTCTCTCCATTTTCGATGAGACTCCCAAAATCGTGGAGCTTCTAAGACAGCCGATTTGACTCGGCAGATTGACTCGTGTTCGGGAGCTGCTGGCAGATCCAGGATTGCCACACTGCGGCGCAAAGAGGCCAGGGAGCAGCTGATCGCTGTCCGTGTCGTCCTGGACTTTGGACAGACTCTGGGGACATCCCCAAATCCGTTTTGGGGCGTTTGGGCATGGCTCAGATGCATTTGTTTCAACATGTTGAAGATATAAAATGATATAAAGAGGCCGCCCGTCAAGTGTAGGACTTGTAGGAAAAGACGTTTCAGGAAAGACTTCGGTCTGCGTAGGATGTGAACCGTCGACGTGCTTCCCGTCGCCTGGGCGCCACGGGTCTCAGGTCCAGGTGGACATTCCTTTGGCAGACTTCCGAGAGAAGCTTCGTTCTTTTGGCTGGGAAGTGGGAGCCTCGACCATGAAACAAACCGTTGAACGAAGAACCGAAGACTTGGAAGCAACTGGCGTTTGGGGCCTCTGAAGTATTTGGAAGGGGTCGAAGGAGAGAAGGAGGGACAGCGGACCAAGACCCATTCCGTTTTACTTTTCTTCCTTTTCTGCGGGAGCGTACTGCGGTGCCCGCTTGGGGACAATGTTTGGGGCCAGCACACCTCAATCTGGGCCTGGGCGCACTGTCTGGCGCTGTGACAGCCTCCCAAGACAGCTTCGCTCACGGCATGTTAGGGATTCAGAAAGGCCAAGTTTTGGGCATTGGACAGCTTGACAAACCTTGAGCAAGCCTTGCCTGAACCTGGAGGTTGCTCCAAAAAGAATTACGTTCTGCAACCTTTGCTAGATCTGTTTTTGCACCAACAGCAGCCATAGTTGTTGGACATCGCCAACCAAATCTGGGACCTAAAAAATCCCAGAGGCTCGGTTATATAGTTCGGACAAAACACATGGAAAGTGTGCCATTCGGTGGTCATTGGAATGTCTCTTCATCGCAGTGTGGTGGTTTGCTGTTGGTGACAACAGAACAAGTTGTTGTTCTTGTGGGACGAGTTCAGCCCCAACGGTGCGCGAGCATTCTCTAAAAGAAACTGCGACGAGGCCCAAAACTGCCATCATCCAATTCTCCTGTTTGGTGATGACCAAGAAGAGGCTGGCTTGATGGGTTTATTGGGGTTCGGGGAGACTTTCGTGACGGGATCAACTTTGGTGTGTTTGTACTCTTGAAGAATGCTTTTTATCATTCAGATTGACAAATTGATGAAGAATACTTTTGGAGACCGCAGGTTTGGTGCCTGATTTTCACTCTCCGTCTGGAAATTCGGAGAAAGCTGGTGACCTGCGGGTGTTTGCGCTAAGTGACTACTGCAAGACTGCTTTCTCACACTGCGTTTGGTTCACATGGTCTAGCAGCCCAGCTTTGTCTGGGAACAACAAGTTGACTCGGGTTAAGTTAGACAGGTGGATCACCATCCATACATTTCTTCAAGGTCTTTTTGTATCTGAATCTGGGGAAATCTAACCTGCACTGGTTTGGAGAAATGCAACACATCTGGCCTCACATCTGGTAAATTGTATTGATTCCTGGGGTGGAGATACTCAAACAGAAACATCATCAAAAATCCGCAGGGTCGAAGAAAAGAACAATAGACTGCTCTACATGGGTGGACCACCAGATTCCTGACATTTATCTAGGGCAGTATCTAGGGCGTATCCCATTACCAGGGAATGGTAACATACTATTGATTATGAACTACTATTTTTGAGAAAGGCCTATACCATCCATCATTATCCACTGTTGCTTGAACATTTATCATCTATCTTTTTTCTTTTCGATTTGTTTGAAGACATCTGGGTGATTCTGGGTGCGTATTAGGGAGACCGCCGTTTCAGAAGGACAACGGGCCAAAGGTTGACCAAAGGTTGGGTGTCTCCCTAATTCAGATACACCGTTTCCATGTCCTTCCTCTACCTGTGCTGGGGCCGGTGATCGGCGCTGCCGGATGTTTCCGTCGGCAAAACCTATCTCGCGGGAGGATGAAGATTCCAACTCTTCATGTTCCCATTCCATGAATGGTTTTTCCTTCTCGAGTCCACAAGGAGAAGGCGGAATTCTTTGATATCGCTCAGGTGGCAGAACTACGACCGCGGCCCTGTCCGTGCGTATGACATGGTTTTATGGGTTTTAGGTTGTTCTTTTTTGTTTTGGAGGGTGGTTGACACTTGGACACTTGCAGGCTGCACACTTTGTGTTTCTCGCAGGTGCAGCGTGCACAAGGGATCCTCACCGAGGAGGGCTTCACGGCCGTCACCAACGCGCAGACGCGCGAGGCGCCTGTTGAGCGTCCGGCGTGGGATCTGGGAGGTGGACCACTGAAGAAAGACATTTGTCCAGGAGTTTCATGTTGGGATGGGTTCGTGAAGGGCAGGGGGTGTCAGGGGCATCCAAACATGTGCTGCTTGTTTCGTGTAACCTCCGCTCATGACTCAAGCACCAATGCCTCAGTGGCTCGACGTGGACTTTGCCTAGACGGCTGTAGACTGTATACATTCTTGCAACTTAGTCTTAGCGTGGAGTGTATTGGGCCAAGAGTGAGAGCAAAGTGCTGCTGCTGCTGTGACTGCCGCCGTGGCTGCTGATATTGCTTGGCTGTTGCTTTGGTGTGTGGTGGCCGCCGCCGCCGCCGCCGCCGCTGCTGCTGCTGCACTGCTGTTGCTGCTGCTGCACTGCTGTTGCTGCCCTTAGTCGTGGTGTGGTGTCACAGTGTGATTTACTTGCCACAACTGCTTTGCAAGGACTTTCGTGTCTTGGTGTAGTACTGGTAGCAGTATTTGTAGTAATTAGTAGGTGCTTGTAGCAGCAGCCGGCGGCGTCGACGCGGAGGAAGAGTAGTAGTAGTGATTATAGGTGCATGCTGCATGCACAATGCACATGCTGTCAACTAACTCATACCCTCTAGTGTGGGATGGGTGGTGGTGGTGGTGGTGGTGGTGGTGGTCGAAGCGTTGCACCTGCCACGAAATCTGTGCTCCTCGGCTCTTGAAGCTCGTGGGTGTTGGGGCGGATCACGGTCTTCTGCTTTGAGTTTCGGAGGGTCCCTTTGTGGCAAGCTGGACACCATGTGGCCAACAACCTCATGGGTGGGTCCATATTCACCAGACTTTGGGACAGAACAGGTGTAACCCGTAGTTGTCAGGTCAGGCATGTGTACGGTCCAGCCTTTTTCCATACTAAGATCATCCTAAAGCCCCACTTTGCTTTTGGGATGTTAACACGTCGAAAGCAATACCGCGGCTGGGCACCCGGAGGCTGTGGCACGAGCCTTGAAGAAGCCACCGGAGCATCTCCGCAAAGAGACTTGAGGACCCCAAGAAAACAATGCACGTGCGGCTGCACGAGTGTGGGTATGTTGATTGAATTCAGGCCGGCTGGAAATGTGTGCCTTGAGATCGCAACGTCGGGTCGTTGATCAAACACCTTATCGTCGTCATCGTCGTTGTTGTCCTCGTAGTTAATCTCCAAAACATGTGGCAAAAAAAACAAATTTGAACCAAGAGTCTGGCAGACGAAGGGGGCGGGCTTCACAAACTTTGAGCAATAGAAAGGGCATCTCCGTGGCATTTCCTTTAATTATAGAATGTAAGGGGACTGCCGGGACTGCCTCTCTATAAAACGTTCTATAGTGGCACCCCTCAAGGGATATCAAGGGGAGGATACTCCATTCTATAGTAAAACATGTTCAGAAACAACCGACGATGGATGACGATGGAACAAGTGTGCAAAGCAGCAGTCAAAACATGTTCAAGATGCTTATGTTGGACCTTGGGGGACCATTCTATAAATCAAAAAAAGGTCTTTGCTATCCACATTATATACATATATACCCCATCCCAAGGGGTGAATCACCATCAAAAATACAAAATGATGGTATCCAAGTCCCCCATGGATATTGCCATGCGTGTGGCATTTGACAAATTCTGACCTTCATGCGTGGCTCACAGCTGAATCGTTTGCCCTTAGTGTCGGCAATCCGACTGGGCGTGGGGCCCAGGTCCGATTGAGCGTTTTGCTGGGTTCGTTTACTGGTGGGTTTTGGCGAATCCGCACACCAGGGCCGATTCCATCTGCTCAGAAAATCTATTTGCTCTTCAGAAAGTCTAAGGCAAGCACCAGGAGGAAATCTCAAACGTCAGTTTCCTGGTTTTGTTGGGGTCCAAAGGGAGGATCCGTCTTGAGGCCTTTTCGGATGCCGTCCGGCCAGACAGGTGCAAATGGAGCGAGATGAGAAGGTACAGCAGTACAAGCGGCCCGGATGTGTTTGTGGGAGGGCTGAGGTTGTGGCAAGATGTGTCGCTTTGTACAGTGTTTTTGTTGTCCACTGTTGCGGCTGAACTGATGGAATTGAGGAACCTCACAAGGGACAGGTCCAGTATGCAACAAATCAGGTTATATAATATTTTTTCAAGTTTTTGACCGCGAGTGAGGTTATTGCTGAGTTGATGACTCTATATGGACAGTGAAAACCAATGTTCCTGAATCACAGGCATAGTCTGTGTGGAGATCCGTTTGCGACATTGTTATTTCTGGACCCCACCATTTGGGCCTTCCGGGAATGGCGGTGTGGCTGGAGCCAGATCTGCGTTTGCAGATCCATCGCCTGCCAGAAGCTTCAACGCTCAACGCTCATCGCTAATCAACTGGACGCTCATATCGACCGGGGCGCCTCGGAACTGGTGAACTTGTTGGGTGATGGGGATGCCCCGCGCGGGCTCCCATGATATAAGTGCTTTTTTCACCCTAGTACGTAGGTTACATGGGGTAACTGCAAACATTTATTTCACTTCAAGTTTCGGCAGCTTCTCCCTGCACCATGAATCCTCAAAGAAGCGTTCCCAGCTGGAAATGCCCGGGTCCGGCGTGTTCCTGGCAGTCTCCCAGGACGATCAAACGCTTGCAAAAATCTTACCTTGCAACTTGGATCGCAGGAACCCTATGGCCTGTGAGGTCCCTATGGCCCTATGTAGTTGTTCGGTTCCGAGTGTTTCACTGGACATTGATTGCGGAAAAGACAAAGGACAGGCGAAAGACAACCAATATCGAATCGGTGATTCTACCGGGTGGAACGGTCTTCCACAAGAGCAATATATGGGTGTGTACTTGAATTCCTTTTGAAGGGAGTCTAGGGAAGGTCAGCCTATTCTATCCCTTCATAGCGTCAAGCTGGAGGTCTTCCCCCGTCTAGCACGTTTCTCACGCTCACGGGTCCATAGGGCTGGTGGGCACATGTCCAGTGGTGTTTGGATGCCACTTGATAGTGTGTTTGTCATGTTGTTTCGGTCAGTCATGATGAGGTTCGTAGCAACCAACGAATCCAAATGAAATGAGCGGGAAGCAAGGCGTAGGGAGGGTCTTCTTTGCTCTTGGGGGGGTTTATCGCTGGGTGAGTATGTTTTTTGCGTAATGAGTTCGTCTTTGTAGTTTATCACCTCCAAAGGTTTCTGCAAGTCACCCGCAACACCGGCAGTACGCGTGTTGTCAGGTTCGTTGCAACGAGTCTTTGTCGAACATCATCCCAGGCAGAATTGGGCAGAGTTGGGCAGTTCACCCTTCGAAAGAATGTCCAGGGAACCACATGCACATAGAAGGCGTTGTTAATCATTGTTCCCTGGGTGGTAGAGACACTTTACTTCAGGGTTTCAGGCGTTCCCTGGCACAAGCTAGCTGGCGTCGAGATGCTGAAAATCTGGATCCACGGCTGCACGGAGTGCTGAACTTGTGGACCTGAGATGCTTATATAACTGGGTTCTTTTCCTATCGTCAGAAGATGTCAGGACAAGAGCTGCCAGACAATAAACATCGAAGGCATTGATGTTTCTTTTGGGAACGAAGAGATGGTTGCGTGTTTGTGGAAGCAACATGAAGCAACTTGGATCCCAACACCCAGATGATGAAACCATCAATTGGATCATATGGGTGTGTATTTATATAGCGAGGCCTCCCAGTTCCACCCTCTGAAAGAAGGAAAATAGACCAAAACCCATTGGTTGGGGATTCGGATCTTCCTATTAAAGCGCGAGGAGTCCCTGCTTTGGTTTCACAGTTGTGCGTTTTTGACCGGACATGGATCCCGTACCGGCAAGTACGCACAGTACTTAGTGTATAATATATGTAGGATTATGTAAGCATCTTGTGCTGGGGACCTTCAGCGCGAATGTCATGACAGCCTTCTTTGCCTTTAAGTTTCCAACTCCTAGCCTTGGGGTCCTCTTTAGCAAGGAACATCCCAAGAACTAGGTGTGATCCCCAGGAGATGTCCTTCGAACACACACACACACTTATAAAGATATGCGTACTGATCTGAATGCCACTCGCCACACGGCGACCTAGGTACCCAAATCCTGAGAGAGCATGTAAGGAGGCCTGAACATCGCTAGCTAGTCGTTGGGAGGTCAAAGTCCCAATCGTGAAGAAGCGAAGCGACGACAAAGCGAAGTGACGGCGGCCGCTCTTGTCTGCAGAGTGCACTAGCCCTTGATGGACAATGAGAGTCACAGCTTGTGAACACCACAACCAAGCAGGTACGTCCAGAAGGCGTCCCTTCCGGATATCAGCCAGGGCAATCAGCTGCAATGTCGGATTGCCCCCCTGCTAAAAAATCAAAAAGGATCCCTGTGAGTCCAAGGGGTACACACACACACGCCTCCCGTTAAGGGAGGCAAGAAAAATTAAGCTTGCGACTGTGTACGTGTGCGTGCAAAGGAGACAAACGAATGACGACATGAAAGGAGGACGAGGCAGACCGTATGTGTGTGGTTGCAATGAGAAGAAGCCAAGTGACCAGGGACAACCGATGAACCCAACCTCCTTGTAAGAACCTGGGCGACCTGAGACCTGGGTTTGAAATGTAGGTGCGCGTACACACTAAGGCCAGGACCGATGTGCGCGCAAACGAAAGAAAGGATGAGATGACAAGACATGAAGACAGGGAGACATGAAAGAAAAGACGAGAATAAAGTGTGTGAAGGGGAAAAAAGGAGGAAAAGGGGGGAGCCAAATGAAGGGGACCCAGGGACACCCAAGCAAGAAAGAAGGGAAAGAAAAGAACGAGAAAAAGAGAGAGACAGAGAGAGAGAGAGAGAGAGAGAGAGAGAGGAGAGAGAGAGAGAGAGAAAGAGAGAGAGAGAGAGAGAGGGAGGGAAGAAAAGGAAGGGGACAGGTGTTCCCAGCTACGAAGAAGCGTCCAGGGACACACAAGGGAGAGGGGTGTACCTGAGTGTTGCATTCAGGAACACCCCAGAAGGCAAAGAAGGAAGAGGCGTTAAGCCAGCTTGGACCGCTGCGGTCACGTTCTGGCACAAGGCCTACTCAGACTCAATAGTTCAGCAAGTCGTGGCACATGACTTTGGCACAAGCCTCCGCCCGCTGTGGAAACAACGACAAACCCCCGTCCAACGGGTCCACAGGGTCCACTCGTCGAGGTCACCCTGGGCTCTCACTAAGGAGAGACGGCGACCTAGGTACCCAAATCCTGAGAGAGCATGTAAGGAGGCCTGAACATCGCTAGCTAGTCGTTGGGAGGTCAAAATCCAAATCGTGAAGAAGCGAAGCGACGACAAAGCGAAGTGACGGCGGCCGCTCTTGTCTGCAGAGTGCACTAGCCCTTGATGGACAATGAGAGTCACAGCTTGTGAACACCACAACCAAGCAGGTACGTCCAGAAGGCGTCCCTTCCGGATATCAGCCAGGGCAATCAGCTGCAATGTCGGATTGCCCCCCTGCTAAAAAATCAAAAAGGATCCCTGTGAGTCCAAGGGGTACACACACACACACACACCGGTTCGCTTCACTCCCTTTGGCCCAACGACCGCGCCAGGTTCGGGCGTGAAGCCCGCGAGCGCGATCCGGCGCACGGAGCAGCAGCGCCTCGGTGAAGCGCCGAGCTCGGGGGTGGCCGCCTATGTAGACTCTTGCTTGATGGAGCCCGCCCTATTTGGATGCTCTCATTAAGCGGGCTTGTCGCGGGCTTGTCACGCTGCCTGTCAACCTTTTCATGTGGGGTATATAGACTCTTCACAAAAGGAGTCTACATGATTGCTTCTGGCCTACCTCCGTTTTCCGTTCTGTGGTCTGCGGGTCCGAAGACCGTTATCTTTCTGGTTTTCTTCCTGAAACATGTTGGAAAACGCACCAAACAAAAACACTGTTCTTACTGTAGTGGAAATTTAGTTTGCGGACCCCCAACAGTTTGTTAGAAGTCGGGGAAGTAATCTTTTGTAACGTCTGTGAATTCTGAAGAAATGGTCAGACTGCAGGCTCCAACAGAGATTGATCCACGGGGTATGTTGGGTTTGGCTGATTGGCTGAAGCGCCAGAGAGATAGGAGAAGATGCAGGCGTAAGCCCCGTGGAACCAAGCGTGGAAAGAGTTCCCCTGTGTTTGAGCTGACTGGCTTTGATTCATTATCTCCAGGGACATGCTTGGGGATGGACTAGGGGTGCTTGGTCATCCGTTTTTGAGGGTTGGAGCCGCACCATATCCACCGGAGGCGCTTGCGTTCTCAAGATAAATAGCAGAAGTATACATTGTACTGGTATATATTATATGATTGATTTGTAAATTGTAGTGGTCTGACCATATTTGACCCGACATAGCTTCTGGCTAGTCCTGGAGAAGGTGCTGGAACCGCACAAAAGAAACTGTCTCAGGGCTTTGTTTTTCCTCACCTGTCAGGTGAAGGTTGTTAGATTTTATGTCAGCCCCCCTCTCCTCCACGACCATCCACGCCCAGTGTTCCCTGCCCGACCTCAACCACGACCACAAACACACAACCACAAACACACAACCACAAACACACAACCACAAACACACAACTACAAACACAACCGCAAACACACAACCACAAACACAACAACGAGCACACAACCACAAACACACAACCACAAACACACAAACACAACCACAAGCGCGCAACCGCAAACACACAACCACAAACACAACCACAAACGCAACAACCACAACCGCAAATACACAATCACAAACACAACAACAAA